CTAAGCTTAAAACTAGAGAACGTTTGTGAAATCGGGCCTTAATGTTTCGATTGAACAATTTGCGACGTTTATTAAGGCTAAATATGTTTAAAAATGTAACATAAAACATAACATATTAAAATAGCATGGAACAAATTACTGAAATTACATATCATTTTCAGGCTATAAAAGTAGTAACATGTCTAAAAAAAAGTGAGCAAAAACTAGTCTTAGGCATAAATCTCTCTGGTTTAGGATACAACATTGACGTTAGAAATGTTTACTAAGGATGTTGAGGATCATTTTGCGTTGTTTTGCGTCCTAAAAACGTGTTGAAACGAAGTTGGTGGCTCCAAAATGTAAAGAAATGACATTAAAAACGTTCCTGGGGCATTTTGCGATATTTTGCGTATAAAGATAACATCCAAATGTCAGACCTCTATACATTATACATTGTACAATCGTAAATTATCGACACATTTTTTAAGCGTTTTGATTTGCTTATACAAAATAGAATGTCTGTAGAATGCAAAAAGCACATTGTAGATTAGGTTTTACACTTATCTACCGCGCCCAGCAAACGTCGAAGTAACAGTAACACATGGTATATCGCATTTATATTGATGTTATATTGACGTTGTGTAACTCCCTAGTAGCACAATATATTGGCGCAATGTTGGGAAATAATGTAAATCTAGTATTCTCAATATTGTAAGACGGACGCCTGTTCCTGTTTGGTCAATACCCAGATAGCACAAGACACTCCTATGAACATTTTAAGAATATTTGGGATATTACATAGGTCCTTTCTTGCGTTGCATTCTCTTTTTCAAAGTAAAGCTTACTCTACAATACGGCAGCTCCGTACCAATTTACTACTTTCTATCGACTCGACACGTGATCGATGAAATTTAAAAGATTTTGGCAGGTGAAATTTGTTATTGAAAATTTATCGCAGCGAAATTGAATTCTGAATTAATAAAGCGCACCAACGAGGGTTTACGTAAGTTTCGAATAACAAATTTTTTCCCTACATCGGTTAAGACGTCTGTTAAGATATTTCACGTAAAAATTCCAGGTTTTTCTTTTTTCGAAATGTTACGAGGCAGTTGTTCGCAGTTGGCATTCTAATTGCGGTCTTTAATATTTGTATTATTAACAATAATAACAATAATATTACGAATCTTTAAGGTCCAGAAAATATCGTTTGGTCTATTAACGTCTATTAATATCCTTAGCGCGATCAACAAAATTCCTCACCGGTTACATCCTCACTAGATTTATATAATCTAATACAAAATACATAAATTCGATGATTTAAACGTTAAGAAGTACGGGAGAGCCATTTCACCTTTCACATTTAACCGGCGTGCGCGTATAATTTTGTGAATCAAATAAATTGGAGCGCGGACGATCACGAGCGCGTGTTTCTAATTTTATATCATAGTGAGACGTAGAGAAAGATTCACATGAGCCGTCGCGGAAATTTATAAACTCGACGCCGACATTAAAGAGTGTTTGTATACACGCCAGAAACTGACACAAACACTCGTCAGATGAAGTAACGACGCGATTTAATTACGTCTGACACACCCACTTATAATACACAGTCACTCATCTCGATGACATAATATTTTGATAAAACACGGCGCTGTTTCGGGAAAAATTCTACGACGTCGGAGATTATTCCTACTATTGTTCTCCTTTCAGTTTAAAATAAGAACTTTTTAATCAATGTCGGATTTGATTAATTAGAACGATTAATTTAGATTAGTTAGAAAAATTAATTAATTACTTAGAACGAAAAGTGAATGGGGGACATTTACAAAATGGTTTCGATTGATTTTGAGATATTTTTACTTCGCCTTGTGTG